ACAGAAAGTCAACTATCACTGACGCATTGAACATATGTTAAACAGGGTTGCCATTAGCAAATAACTCGACAAAGGAACGTCTGGGCAAATTGAAACACATTCCGAAAAGTTCATTCAAGTTGCAAACAGTGTGGCTTCTTTCTAAATTATATAATTATTGTCGTAGCATATGTACATATGTGTGCACATATATGCACAAGTTCTATAATATATATATGTTTAAACTTCTGTTTTTATCATGTAAGTGAGCAATTTTCATTTTCTACTATTTGCATTTTAATGTGATTCATACAAATATCATATGTTTGCTTTGAGTTAAAATTCTCAAAATAAACTTTTTATATTTTAGCAAAGTTTACTTCTATTGATAAATAAATGATTGTAGAAACACCTTGTACCTTACTATATCAAAAACCTTATAAATAATTACATCCGATTTAATTTTTATATCGCTTAGGCTTAGGGAAATAGTAAATTATATCTATATGGCAGCGAATATTGGTATTTACCAAAATTTCGAGTAAGGTAAATTAGTTAAAAATTAGGTGTTACCACTGTGAAAATTTTATAAGATGTTAAATAAATAAAAGCAATTTTTTTTCGTTACGCTCAAAGTGGGCGGAGTTTCCATTCTTTGAAAGGTATTGTTTGTTTATGTCATTTTGTGTACGTGTTGAAAATCAATATATGTAAGTAGTGACTGCTTTGTACAACTTATTTAGAGAATAATTATATTAGGGGTATATTCACACTTTGTCCTGCAAACTCATTGCAAGGTGCATGAAATGCAAGTATGCTATACAAAAATTGCAAGAGTGCGAGAACACCTCTGTTGCAAAATTGCATCATCAAAATGAGTCAGTTGTTTTTGCAGCCGTATCACATTGAGCAAAAAAAAATAAATATATAACAATGCCGCGAACAAGTGAATTACAAAAATGTATAGTTATTTTAATTGAAAATATTGCTTTTAATATTCTGACTGAAGATATTCTACTTCCTTCTGCAGAAATTCTATTATTTGGAGCACTTTCAGTTCGTTCCACTTCTTGTGCGGCTGCAACCTTTTTTTTTAGTTGCTGGTGCTTCGTTTTCCATTTTTATCTAAAAATAATTAGAAAATTTCGCTACAAAATTCAAATTTAAAAATCAATTTACATTGAATCAACAAATGTCAAAACAGCTGATTTCTGCCATTTTACATAGGTTTTAGTATAGGAACATTGCAAGTAGTTGCACTAAACTTTGTGCGTATATTTTGTTTTTGTTAATGCATGCTCGTACAATCTGTGAATTTCGTGCACCTTGCAATGAGTTTGCAAGAGAGAGAGTGAATACCCTTAATGTTTGTGAAATTATTTAAAAAATGAATAAAGCAATAACTATATACAGAAAACAATGTGCAACGCATTGGAAAAAATTAATAGTTATTTAAAAACAGCAAATAACATTACTTTCCTCTAAATTAAATTAAATCACAAATTAATTTTTTAAATATCTATAGCATATTTAATTATGAAAATATAACACTTTATTTAATATTACTTACGTAATTTTTTTTGGAAAAAAAGTTTTTGATAACTAAATAATATACCACACAAAAATATAATTGTATAGCGGGATAGTCCATGTATCTACAACAATTTGTTCAAGTGATTGAGCACCGCACAGGTCTAAAATAATCCACGTCGATGCACTGAGTAGTGTGGCTTGCTTAATGATGGAGAATGCTTTGCAGCATAGAATCAAAGAGGCCAAATACTAGAAGACTGGATTCGAGCAATTAGAAAAATTTTAGAGAAAAATAATTATGAGGACTACTATACCAAATATGACATTCTATAAAGATCCGAACAAGGAATTCATGGTGATATCAGCTGCTATGGAGCAAGAAATAATAAAATTCGCACATTGTCAGGGATGTTTTGCTGCGGAAAAAACTCAAGACATCATTGAGAAGAGTTTCTGTATAAGAAACTTAAGTGCAAAAGTGACGACTGTGGTAAAAAGATGTGTAGAGTATCTTCTAGCGGAAGCAAACCTGAGTAAAAAGGAAAGACTCTTAAACCCTATTGATAAGTTTGATAGACCTAACAATTTTAGCTCGAAGTTAAAAATATGTTTTAAGTTTATATTGTAAGGTTTGAAGGCATATTTAACATTTTTGGCACAGGCCAAATATCAAATCAACAGGCAAGTTGAAAGATCAGCTGTTTGAAATGAGAACAAACGAATTACAACGAATGTAAACACTTTTAAATGACTCAATTTAAATAAGACATTTTCAGCTAATGTAAACGCCATATTATTGTTGGAATGAAAGATGTTACTTTTATGAAACAAACAGAAAACTCAGGCTTGTTCCATAAATTCTGACAGTTTTTTCAAATTGGTAGTACCTGGTAGCACTGCATAAGCACTTTTGCATTATAAATGCAAATTCTGCGCTATTATTTTAAGTTTTGCATTCCATACACAAACCATTTTTATTTGCATATTTTTTGACACTGTAATGCCAATTGGTGTGATAGCTGATATGATAGCTGTTTCGTTAATTAAACAGCGAAAGAATACTAGAAAGCATTTAGAGTTTTACAGTTTGGTAGCCACTGGTAGTTAATGCACAAACCATTTTGAATCATCTGAATGCAAATTCTACGTTCTCGTTTCAAAACTTTCGTCAAACGTTAAACTGTTTTAACAAAAGAAAATGGTTCGAAAAGTAAAGAAAGTCAACTATTTGCGCGCGAAAGTTCCGTTTTTTTAAAACTTATTTAATCGAATTAATTTAATCATTTTCTCATATTTCTCATATTCTTTTCTTTCTATTCATATATTCGCAGCTCTAATTTAGTAGCAACTTTTATAACACACTTTTAAATTAAAGAAAAATGTTTAAAAAAATATTTTGAATCTTGAGAGTAATAATAGGCCCTTTCGGTGGCTCGCAAGTATGGCAAAAAATGTATGCTTGCCTATATTGATCACGAGAGCTACTGGCTTTACTGTTGCAGTCTGTCAAGTTTTATGTTTTGACAAATAGCATAATCCAAGCAAATTACATTTTGTAGAAAAACAATTAATTAACATAGATTGAAAATTAAATACTATACTATATACTATACTGGCCGAAATGTACTCAAAACAACAACTCTATTTCACTATTTTGGTCAGTATTTATTTACTGGCTAAACACTTCGGCCTGTAAAGCAAAAGTGTTACCAACGCAATAAGCGAATTATTGTGAACCTTCATTGAAAACTTCAATGAATATTGCAATCATATGTCAAAAATCATATTTAAACAAAAATTTCAAATAATATTCAAAAATTTCATAAATTTGAAAATTTCATAAATTTAAAAATTGAGAAAAAATATCAATGTTTAATTTTGAAATTTTCAACATCCTTACCATTCATTTTAATTCTGTATTCATTTTACTTTTACTTTTATATTAACTATTTTATACAAAATGTAATTTGCTTACATTTTGCGCACATATGCAAGATTTGCTATTTCTCAAAACATAACACTTGACAGATTGCAACAGTGATGACAATGTCACGCTTAGCGAATATAGGTTAGCATGCGTTTTTTGCCACACTTTCGAGTCAACGAAGAACCAAAAAGGCCTAAAATCGTTTTGAAGTTTAAATTTAAGTAGGGTGTTGGGTCGAACTAAGTAATTAAATAGTACTTAAAAATTAAGCACGAAATAATAGTAAGTTTTTGATGTTGTATATAACAGACTAAAACAAACACAAAAATATATATTACTGACATTTTCTAATTTTTCTAATTTTTCTTTGCGTTGGATTAAATTCTCACGATTTTCAAAATTTTGTATAAATTAAATTTTTTAAATTATATTATATATAAAATCATATCGGTTTATTAATTTTAATAGTTTTTCAAATAATATGTGAAAAAATAATATTAAATTCATGTCATGTATTGACATGATTGATCCTATAGAATAATTTCCGGCTGCTTAAAATGACTTGGCTTCACTGTTTAAATCAGTAAAAATATAACAAGTAAAATAATTTAAAAAAAATTTATGATTGATAAATACATGTAAATACAAAAATTCCTGCAAATTATTTTGTAAAAAAGATTTTTTCTTCATATAAATATATATAAAATGAATGACACAAAGAAGTTATTGGTGAGCATTTTGTATTGTATTTGAATTTATATTAAAGTACACATTTTATTTAGGCTTTATCTTAGATAATACAGAAAAATAATGAAATAAGGAGGAGACGAAGAGTGCTAAATATTGACAAAATATTCAAAATTGTTTATAGCTCTAACTCTTCAGAAGGCAATACGAGATCGTCAATATATTCGTTTAAATAATTTTCAAACTTTTAACATCACTAGTTAACGCTAAATGAGCAGTATTTAACACTATTTTCTTTTTCTTGAAATTATGTTTTATCAGTTTGCTTTTATTATAACGATTGTGTTTTGTATTTATTCATGTATTGCATTTTTAATGAACATAATACAGTAATTATAAATTCTTTAATAAATAACACAGGTCAACAAAAAAAAAATTTTTTTTTATCCTAGATATGTTATTGAGTGATCCTAGAGGTATTTTGCTGATTCCAAATCTGGACTTAGATTTTTTCTATCACGTCTAGTTTTCTTTAGACAACCAGATTAACGGGTGATTCAAGGGGTTTCAGCAAATAAATCGTGAATTTAAAAAATGGTACTTACTATGTTTTTCTCGCATATTTTAGTGTCCAGCAGTAATCTGCTAACATGTTAGTGAAATTTCCTTTGTGGCGTTTTTCCATGTGTAAAATATCCTGGTGAAAACGCTCACCATGCTCATCACTAACGGCGCCAAGATTTGGTGGAAAAAAGTCCAGGTGAGAGTGTAGGAAGTGAAGTTTTAAAGACATATTGCAGCCCATTTTTTGGTATGAATTAATTAGATTAGCCACCAGATCGCGATAATTTTCAGCCAACATATTTCCTAAAAAATGCTCAACTACATTTTTGAATGAGTTCCACGCGTTAATTTCTGTTGTACTCAATTGCTGTTGAAATTCCGAGTCCTTCAGCAGTTCTCTAATCTGTGGCCCAATAAAAATACCTTCCTTAATCTTTGCCTCACTTATTTCAGGAAATTTTTGCTTCAAATAAGTAAAACCACCACCATTTTTATCCATGGCTTTAACAAAATTTTTAAAAAGTCCTAATTTAATGTGCAGAGGTGGCAAAAAAATATTTTTAGGATCGACCAAAGGCTGGAAGAGGACATTTTTGATTCCAGGAACGAGTGCTTTACGTTGTGGCCAATCTTTTTTCAAGTAATGCAATTTTCTGTCTCTGCTATCCCACTCGCAGATGAAGCAACAATATTTCGTGTAACCAAGTTGTAAGCCTAGTAAAATTGCAATAACTTTTAGGTCACCACAAATTTTCCACTTATATCTTTCGTATTGAATTTTTTTTAAGAGAAACTGCATATTCTCGTAAGTTTCTTTCATATCAGTTCCATGGGCTAACGGTATTGAGGGAATTTCATTTCCATTATGTAAGAGAACAACCTTTAAACTGACCTTAGAAGAATCAATGAACAAACGCCAATCATCATCGTTGTATTCAAAATTAAGAGTATCCATAACAGATAGAACATCATTGCAAAAAATAAGGTTGTTTTCTTGAGAAAAGAATAATTTAAATTCGTCATGGCGAGATCGATACATAGAAATTTTAGTTTTTGGATCCAACAATTTCCAACCCTTTAATCGTGATCCTAAGATTTCACTCTTCTTTTTGCACAACTTTAAATCGCGCACTAGATCGTTTAAATCGTCTTGCGTTATAAGATGAGGTCCATCAGATTTATTAATTCGTAATATTATTATTTATACATATTTATTAATCATGTTATTTATATACATATATTTACATCACGAAAATAATGTATACTATATATATCATATATAAATGAAATACCCAACGCTTAACTCAATCTTTCATACTCTTTTCAAAGGCCCATGAAGGTATGGCTTTTAGTTCCTTCGGCGAATTTTCTTTTACCGATTCAATCGACTCAAAACGCTTACCACGAAGGGGCAATTTGAGTTTCGGGAACAGGAAAAAGTCGCACGGATCCAGATCTGGCGAATATGGTGCCTGAGCGATGACAGTGGTTCCGTATTTGGTCAAAAAATCGCGTACAACAAGAATTTTCCATAGTAAAAATCGCTATATGCACTTGAGGTAGTCTCACATTACCAGCTGCTGTAAACAAACTAATTGTCAGATGGCGCTGAAATTTGTATCATATGTCAAGAAAGAAAATTTTTGAAAAAGGTCTATTACTTAAAAAGTAGTTAACAAACAACAAAATCCGGATACTTTTTGAGGAGTAGGTAAATTACGACTTTATAGCAAAAATATACATTCAACTGTTTTGAAGAATCTAGACGTG